GTTGTTGTTGTTGAAAATAATCGTCTATGAAGTGTATTTGTATCATTGAACATTTCTGATCGTTGTTGTTGAATTTATGAATTTATCACGTTCTGATTATTTCGCCAATTTTTATTGTTCACATTGTTATTGAATTCATCCATATAAAATTATTGATTATGATGATTTAATTTGCACTTTTCATCAATGAAGTGAATTTGATGAAGGGAATTTGTTCGTTTGACACGTTGAAAACGAAACTATAATATTTGTATGCTAATGCAAAGTGTTCGAAGTCTGGGATTTGAGCACATCGTTAACTTCAGTTGCGTATCAAAAGTCCATAAACGTTCCATAATTTCCGTAAACATCGGGTTGCTAAGACTTATTACAGTGATCTGCGTTTGCGGTGATTTATCGGATAAAAAAGAAAATGAAGAAGTCTCTTATGAGTTCGAATATCGTACGAAAAGACAACAATAAGAAAAACGTCGTGTAAATGCGAAACAAATCAGTGATTTAAATCAATGGAACACTTTCACGTCATCAATCGAAAACCGGTCTGTAAGAAAACAAGAAATTTTCTGAGGAGAGTACACATGTAATTGATTTGTTTGTGTTGTTTTCACTTTCAATCATTTATTGCACGTTTGGAGTGTTCATCAGCACACGAAAAAAAAGCGATAGCAAGAGGTGATTTTCGATTTGATAGTTTGGGTTGCATTTGCACTATGGAAAACTGACTCTGTCGAAGTATCGAGGATTATCTGCAAAATTATCACGTTCGATTCGTTCTCTCTTCAGCCGTATTTGCACCGTTCTGTTTGTTGCCAGTCAAAATGATGTGATCATTCACTATTGTTGTTGGTGGATGGTGTTTTGAGTTGACTTTTAAAGGTTTCACTGATTGAGTGGGTTTGAAAAGCATGAATTCAGATTCTTTCAGTGTTTATTTAAAAAGCGCAATAGGAGGATTTTTTTCGCGGATTAGTCTAGCATAAGTTTGCGGATATCTTTGCGAAACGTCCAAAGACAATTCAGAATGAGTGGTTTTAATCGTTTTGTTTATTGACGAGCTTAACTTTTTCTCAACAAGTGCATCTTTCTCTCGTGCATTATTGTTTTACCATTGTGTTGTTTCGTGTTGAGTTGTCAATATTAGAATATTTCTAATTTTCATTGTAATGTAAATTATTGGCGAATGAAGAAATGAAGTAAGCTGCGTGTAAATTTCAAATAATCGCGAAATGAACGACGTTTAATTGTCGAGTGAATGTGTTCGTTTTTTTAAGTGTGTTCAATTTAATTGGTGAAAACAAAACATATATAAACAGAGAGTGAATGTTATCAATACGAATGAAACTACAGAGAATATCATTCAGTAATATCAGTCAACCAATATCAGCAGCAAGTGGTGTTGTTTTCATCGGGTAGTAGTCGATTGTGTTGTTTGTGTTCTCTCGTAGTGCCATCATTCACTCCGCTCAACGATTGTCGTCCGAAGAAATTCTCGAAACAGCTGTACTAACTATCTTCTATCTATTCTGATTGCTTGGAACAGTTTCATTTTGTTGCAATGAGTCGTTTACTGAGATCATCGAACACTGTTGGTGAGTTCTCATTTCATTTTCCAGTCTTAAAGCATATATCTTTCAATTTCTTTTTGTTTTTTCGATGTAAACAGGTTTTGAGTTTCGAGTTTTAATATTTCTATGCTTTAAATGCTTTATGGATGCATCGTGTGTCACGTGCGACTTATTCAAAATGAATAATATGAGGGTTTTGATGCGAAATTTCGATAGTTCATCAAGAAAGTTTTACATGGATGGTTGGACAGTTATGGACAATATTTAGTAGTATGCATAGATTGTTATCAAATTGTTGAAATTTTTCCTAAAAGATTCGGTCTATTTGAAGTTATTTTGCGTTTCTACATTGCAACTTTAATGGTTCTATTGATTGATAAGCGAATTAGAATGTTATCTTTTTTTTTGGTTGTGTACATGACAAAGAAGATGCTATGATTTGCTTTCGATTGGTCATTATAGTCAATAAAAATATTGTCTTGGCATTAAAGTGGGGCAGAATGAAGCGATAAAATTTTGTGATGATTGTCACAAATAAATGATTTCTGCGGTGATTGCATGATGTTGCAGCAAAATGTTGTGTACGAACGTTGTGGGCTCCAGCTGGTATCGAGCCAGTAAGTCCGTGTGTGTGTACGGATGTACCGGGCCCTGTTTCGAAGAAACTTAAAGCGGAAATGGACGCAGTTCATGTGAGCAATTCGCATCGTATCTGAAACAAGTTCATTAGGTGTCAACGCTTGATGCGTGAATTTGATGGTGTGCATTTAAACATTGACGAGTCATTCGTCCATTTTGCAGCAAACTTCATCGGTGAAATTTTTCGCTGATTACAAGAAATCAATCGGAAATTATTTGGTGGACGCTGATGGCAATACATTTTTGGATATTTATATGCAAATATCGTCACTTGCTCTCGGTTGGTTGATTGGGCTGTTGTACCTTACTTACGATTAGTTTGTGACTTGAAGCGATCATTATTGGTACTTTACGAGTTCATACGAACATCGTCACTTTGTTGTTGTGAAGTGCATTCTTATTGATCAGATTGAATGAAAAAGAATCATTAAGTTTGCTCGTGACATCATTGATTTCTATTCTTATCGACAATATCAAGGTTTGCCTAATTGTCCGTACGCATTTTGCAGGATACAACCATCCGGATTTGATTAAAGTCGTCTCTGACCCCCGTTTCATTGTGAGCACCTCTTTTTGTTCCCGTTATTTTTCATTGCTCAGCGTTGATTTCATTCACTTTTGCAATTTTCTACATTCATTTGTTATTAATATTGTTGTGGTTTTTGAATTGTGATTATTTGGTTCATTTCTGAAAATTCGTTTTTAATGTCTCAGACAGCTGCTGTGAGTCGTCCAGCATTGGGTTCGTTCCCGGGAAATGATTTTCCGGGTGAAGTTTCGAAGGCATTAACTTCAGTGGCACCGAAAGGCTGTCCACTAGTACAAACAATGTTGTGTGGCTCATCAGCGGATGAAAACGCGATCAAAACGGCATTCATTTGGTATCAAACGCAAAAACGTGGCGGTAAACCACCAACTGAACAAGATTTGGAGTCGTGTATGAGGCATGAATTACCCGGTACTCCACACCTATCGGTACTGTCATTCAAGGGTGCTTTCCACGGTAGAACACTTGGTTAGTTGATTGTGTTGTTCGTATATTGATGGTTGTTCGTTTATAGACTATTATGTTTGAATTGCATTCATTAAGGTGCATTGACAATGACCCGGTCAAAGGCTATCCATAAAGTGGATATACCAGCGTTCGATTGGCCAGCCGCTGAGTTCCCTCGTTACAAATATCCACTGGAGAAGAATATTCAGTACAATACTGAACAGGATGCGATGTGTCTTGCAAATGTATGTAGTGGTTGAGTTGTGTGTTGTACTCATAAAACATTATGACGCTTAGGCTTTTTTAAATTTTTTTCGTTTGTGCGCATTAAATGAGACTGAATTGATTAATGAGGATCGTTTGGAAGTAATCGTATGAATGACGTTAGTGATTTTAGTCTTTCTAATAATAGTAGATAATGGTATGTTCTATAAACAGGTCGAAGAGCTGATCGCAGAACGAAAGAAAGCGAAATGTGATATCGCAGCATTAATTGTAGAGCCGATTCAAAGTGAGGGTGGTGATCATCATGGTTCACCGCAGTTCTTCCAAGGCCTTCGTGATATAACCAAGAAGAATGGTATTGTATTCATCGTTGATGAGGTGCGTTTTGTCATTTTAGCATTGTCATTATTAATCTTACTCTTGATAGCAATAAAATGTGATTTGTTTAGGTTCAAACTGGAGGCGGAGGAACTGGTAGTTATTGGGCGCATGAGTCGTGGAATCTTTCATCACCACCGGATATGGTTTGCTTTTCGAAGAAATTCATGGTCGGTGGTTATTTCTATGCTGAACATCTGAGAGTTAAAGAGGTCTGTCTCTCTAAAATTCTTTCATTGTTTTTTATAAATGTTTCAGATTCTTTATTTCTAGTTAGCTTTGATTGCCTTTATCGAATGGTTCACCAAACTGAACATCATCCCTTTCATATTGAATGGATGCTAAATAGGATGTTTGTTGTACATTATTGATGACGACAGCGAGCGAACGTGCAAATATTTACTCATTTATTTAGCAACGTTTCGGTGTTTGATATCGGAACTGATTGCATAATGCGAATGTTTGAAGCACACAGCGTTGCTCTTTGCGACATATTTAATGCACACATTCTGAAAGTCATGAGGCAAATAAATCATTTGAATACAACTTTTGAATCTGATGGGAATTTGAATTGAGGGTTGGATGGAAAGGATTTTGAAATTAAATTGGAATGATAAACTTTTAAATTTCAATAAAACTTTCAAATGAAAAAATGAATTGGCCAATGCTTGACGCATAAATCTTGTGCGCTTTACAGACCTTCAACAGTACCATAGATGAGAGTAGTTCAAAAGTATAAAAGAGGACTGATTATTGTAATATATTCAGGCTTATCGTATCTATAATACGTGGATGGGTGAACCAACAAAACTGATATTACTGGAGAAGGCAGTTGAAGTGATTGAACGAGATAATTTGCTTGAACAAGTGAGGAGAGTTGGTAAAGGATTGCAAAGTGGTCTGCGTAACATTGAGGTATTGCTTATTTGAGTTGTGTTTGTTTGCTATTGATCGTGTCATATTGATGTATTTACAGAGTGCGTACAGTTCGAAAATGCATAATGTACGTGGATTAGGAACATATTGTGCGTTTGACTTGGATGATTCTGAACATCGAGATAAATTCGTTGATATTGCCATTTCAAAAGGTCGATTCTTTAGTACTGTTATTTCATTCATTAGTTTTCACTATTGATTTTGCATTCGTTATTGAATCGATTGGATTTCAGGTTTACATATTGGTGGTTGTGGTGTAACGGGAATACGTTTCAGACCAGCATTGATATTTGGAGAGAAACATTTAGAGATTACACTTGATATTTTGAGTAAATCAATGAAGCAATTGTAAATATTTCATTATTTGATCAACTGCGATTTTATTTTCGTTATCTATATGAGGTGACATTTCTGTGAATATGAACGCAATTTGAAACGTTTCATTGTGTATGTCTGATACAATGTCGTTATTTTCAAGTAGTTGTGATTTGAAATAATGTGAACGTTTAACCCGTGATTATAAAGTTTAATATCCCAATCTTCCAACGATGGTCATTGTTTTCTGAAGGAAGACTTAAAAGAAAGAGAACAACAATTGTTTGTTATATATCACAATGTTAGAGCGAAATAAATTGATTAATGCGGAGATTCTGTTTAGAGACACTGAAAAAATCGGTGATTCAGTCAATCACTGCTGGGATTTTATAAATTTGCGNAAGGTTCGTTATTTACGAACGACAGTCATTAACAGTGCACAAGAAAACAAATTCGATCACATAACTTAACAATGAAAAGGTGTATAACTGAATATTTTGTCGATTGGTGAATGGTCGTTATACGTCATCCATCTCACCGTGAGAACTGATCAGAGGCAGTTTCGATTCGACAATACTGAAATGAACAAGCGATTTGTGGTTAGTTGCATTCATAAGCGATTTGTTGTATTGTTATATGACAATTGCATCGTTTGAAAAGCAGCCCTTCACGTGTGTCTGTGATCATTGTTATTGTTAATATCCAAACGTAAAGCATAGCAACGAATCACTCAAACCAAAACGACCACAAAAACAAGCACAAATTCATTATTGCACATAAAATTGCTCACATATCTTTACTTCGCATATCCTTTGTTTGTTGATTGCTGTTAAAAATCTCTGGTTTCTCAAGTGCACTTTGCCTGAAATGGTGCAAGGGTGAACACTTACTGACTAAGATTAGACCCGTTTCGGGATCACTCATCTTACAAGATATTCATTGATGAGGGAACGTTCATGTGGATAATGTTGTTATGATATCGTGGTGAATATTCAATGTAATGGCAAAGCGATAACATTTCAAGTGAGCTGTTGAAAGCGTGTTGGATGAGGCTGGTAAGCGTTATCATTTTAGGTTGTCATTACTGTTGTTACGTTGGCACTGTCACTATTGCTGTTCACACTACTATCGAGAGCAATATTTCGAATATGCAATGCACTTTTCGGCCAAAAGCACTTTAGACATTTCGGCTTTGAGATTCTGATGAAAATCGTTCAGAATATACTATAGTGGCACTTCTTCATAGTTATGAAGAAGTGCGACCTACGTGGATCGAACATCTCTAAGTGTGAAGCGATTCAAAATTACCAATGAAGACTATCATAAATTATGCGACAATGAATAATGGAGAGGAGCACATAAAGAGGAAACATATGCATGCAATGAATACTGATCATGATGAGTCGTTATTGCACGGCGATGGTTTACTCAAGTTGTTGTTCTTGTTGACAACGTTTTGATCATTTAGCGATTTTGATCGATCAGACGACATGGTAATCGATTGATGTTGCGGGTCTTTAATAATCGGTAATGAATCTTGACGTTTAAGTGTTTGTTCGGCAATTGGTTTTGAGTAGAATTGTTGAGGTGGTTTCGTTGAATTTTGCCGATTGTTATTTGTTTGTTGGGTTACAGGTGAAGACGATGGCGTATTGTTTGGTGTGTTTGCGTTTACTGATGTGATTGTGCCGTCAAACTCCGCTTTGCTAGTATTCAACGACAGAATGCGTCTGAACAGTGTTAGTGCTAATTCAAAACATTAATCTTCCCATAACTAACTAACAACAAGCAGTGTCGTTAATCAACCACTAAACCTAACCCATAA